TTGCTTCGCTCAACTGTATTATAAAACTAATGCACTTTTGTAGTATTTCTTTTAGGTTAATTCCAAAGTGAAACGGCTTTTTGGATAATGTACTGTCAAGAACGTTATAGGTTTGAACAGTCGGTCAGGTTTAAGACTGTCAGGATTTCGCTTGTCAGGTTTTTAAATAAACTTTTATGCTTGAATTCATTATTACTTATGCTTTCTTGTGCTTACAAATCAGTTTTTTTTTTTTTTTTTTATCAATTCTTACAATTTCAAACTTTCTTTACTTTACAGTTTTAACGAAAAAAAAAAAAAATTCATACGGTAATTATGGAAGATTTTAACGAAGAAGACGACGTCGATTTGACAACGTATTTCGAGGAAATTATTTATTGTAATGAGGACTTAAATGATATACACAATAACCTAGAACCTGTACCTTTAAAAGGTGATTCTTTTAACACTTTTGATGAAGCTGAACTTCGTGTACGTCGATTTGCATAATATAAGGGGTTTAAGGTATGACTTGGGTGGGTAAAAATGATAGACATGGCTGAAAGCGATAAGGTGGTTCGCAAACGAACTATTCTCTGCAAGCATTCTAGTTCATTCAAACCTAAAAGTACCGGGAAGCAAAGCACTTCGGCTTGAACATCATGCCCATGGCATATTAACCTTTCACACCCTTTAAAAGACAACCCCAATTTCCTTGTATTTGTTACTACTTTTAATGATGAACACAATTATGATTTATTTCCTGAAGCAATACGTTTTGAAAAAAACAAACGGTTTACAGAAGAGATGCGGAAAGAAGTAGAATTCCTTGTTACTAAATGTCATCTTAGTGCAACTATGGTTCGGCGTATCTTAAAGGAGAAGTTTCTCTCCTATTCTATATTTTCCAAGGACCTCTATGCCGAAATACAATGATATCGGCCATCAAGTAGTGTAGTTAGAAGTGATGCGTCACAGTTTTACGGGCAGTTGTTATCAAAACAACAAGAAGATTCCCATTGGTTTGTTGAAATTACATGGGAAGAAGAAACCAATACCTTAACGAATTTGTTCTGGATGAGTCCAGAACAAATTCTATTATGGTGTGAATTCGGTGA